CCGCGGTCAGCAGGAAGCACTGGAAAATCGACAAGCACTCTGGAGCCTCGTCTTTAGCTACTCCTGGTTGAGGCAACCAACCAGGCGTCTGCAACTTCAAGATTTTTACCCCTACTAAACTTTAGGCGATACTGGTAAGATGCAAGCCACAGGACCCAACGTTCCATGTGCGCGGTAGCTACAGTTGGAATACGCTTATTTTGACCTCGTACCCCGAGTAGCGGGTAATGATCTGTGTATATGGTAAGTTCTCGGCCTTACAAGTACCGTGAAATTATTTTAGGCCATAGATTATGGCCAAACCTTCTCGTTGATACTAAGCAAACTTTTGTTTTGCTTCTGTCAGTCTACGTGACGCAAAGGTGACTGGCTTTTTATCACCTTCGGCTGTCTCGTGGAAAATCGCAGCACCGAAGCCATAGGATGACGCATCGCAAAGCATTGCGAGTGGTTTCTGAACATCATAGAATGTCAGCACCTTGCTTTGTCAGCAGGTATTTTGTAGATTTAAAAACGTCACTGCATTTTTTTCCATTGCCCATTTTCGTCTTTCTTTAGTAACTGATAGAGCGGCTCCGCTACTGTCGAGACGTTTTGAAGAAACCTGGAATAAAAATTCCACATTCTTAAATACGCCTTAAGCTCTGTAACTGTAGTGGGCTCTGGTGCTTGTAAGATTGCCCCCCCCCCCCTTTTTTTTTTCGTTGGTTGGGTAAATGCCTCCTGCCGTAACCTTGTTACTCAAATATGTATCAGATTGTTGAAGTGACCGGCATTTATTCATGTTGAGCTTTATGTTATATATGCTCAACCTTTGCAAGACAGGCTCTAGTGTTTGCTGGCAATCGTCAGTGTCCGACCCTGTCAGGATCACGTCGTCGATATAGAACCCACGCGTGAAATGCCATGACGGACCTCATCCATCATCGCCTGGAAGATAACGGGCACGCTGGTCACCGCGTAAGGAAGGCGCTGGAACTCACACAAACCTAGGGTGGTGTTTATTGTCAACAATGAAAGCGACGCTGGAGTAAGTGGGAACTGTTGAAATGCCGAGGACAGGTCTAGTACACTGTGACTGAACGACCTACCGCCCGCTAAGGCCGTGTACAAGTCCTGTGGTCTCAGAAATGCGTCATGATCTGTCATCAAAGAGGTATTTGCTGTTGTTTTGTAGTCTGTATACACCACTGGACGCTACCGTTCTCTTTTATAACTGTGACCATTGGCGTAGCCCAATCGCTGCGCATCACAGGACGCAGCATGCCTGTTTGCACCAGTTCCCGCAGTTGCTCCTCAACGTTCAACTGAAAATGATCTACTGTGTAACTAGCCACGAGAATAACATCCCGCCACATCAAGTAGCAATAAAGTCAGCCGACTAAAATCACGCAACTTGTCATGACCCTGAAACTCACGTACATATCGTCACGGGGCAAATATCACGTAACATTCATGTCATTACAAATTGCGTAACATCTAGTAGCTAGTCATTGATTGATTGATATGTGGGGTTTAACGTCCCGAAACTACGATATGATTGTGAGAGACACTGTAGTGGAGGGATCCGGAAATTTCAAACACCTGGGGTTCATTATCTTTGAACACACGGCCCTACATCATTTTGGCCTCCATCGAAAATGCAGCCACCACAGCCGGAATTATATCCCGTGACATGCGGGTCAGCAGCTGAGTCAATGCCATCTAGATAACTTCAGGCCTGCTCACTGTGTCTGCCTCGGCTTCTAACGTCACTTCGCTGGGACTGGCGTGTTTCGCTGCACAGACGTGCCGACGCTTGCTCTCATTGCTCGAGAGACATGGATTGGCAAACCCGACGAATGTTTTGGTGGTGTGCTGGTGTGCTTATTGGCGACTGGAGAAGACCGTCTTTTTCTGTGTCTATACTCTGTAACCTGCTGCGTGAATATGTGATGAGTTTTGTGCACTGGATATTCATAATCTGTACGGCTGCAAATACGAATGGTTGGGCGATGCTGCGTGGCGAATTGTCGCGGCAAAGGGACCGAAGTTGCCAGCATTCTCACTTCCTAAGCGCAGCCGAAGAACGAAATGGGAGTGTGTCGTTCGTCAAGCTGACATCGACATTCGTTTTCTTCGTGACCTGAAGGTACAGTGGTGGTCAAAATTTTTCAGACCACAGGAGCGCATAGCAAAGAGCACTGCTTCGCTTTCTGACGGCTTCCTGCGAAGCTCAAAAGCGTGGACTGTGCACGCGCGCTCTTTTTTTATCTACCAGCCTGCCCATTCGCTCCCTTCAACAGCGTATGCACCGGAACGCTAAGAGAAGGCAAGGTGTCACTCCGGCAGTCAGCGCGCGAATCTTATCACAAAGGTTGGTTTTCGAAAAATTTACGAGATATTCACGTTTTCGACAGAGCGGAGCGTCTGGAACTTAGCCGATGAAGGCGGCGTGCACCAAGCACTGCCAGTACAAATTGCGTGTTTTTGTCACGATATCACCGCGTGGTGTTTTCGCGTCGTCAGCAGGAGTGACACGTTGCGCTTCTTCTGGCATTCCGGCGCACACGCTGTTGAAGAGAGCGAATGAGAGGGCTGGCAGGTTAAAAGGGTGCGCGTGTGCAGTGCGCGCTCTCGAGCTTCGTAGGCAGCCGTCAGAAAGCGCCTCGGTACTCTTTGACATACTTTGACACGAGTTCCCGTGGTCCACAACATTTCGATGGCCACTGAACGTGTGTCCATACTACTTCTTACTAATTGGTTCCAATGACCCCATCTAACGGTGTCATATGTGCTTCTGACTTGTTGGCGTGAGCCCTGGCATTTAAATAATAAACGTGCGTGGCAGTAAATTTTCAGAGCAGGCGTTTTTTCTTCAGAGTCGGTAAACAGTTTGCTATTGGCGATAAGTGCCGCGGACTTGTAACTTCTGTTCATTTGGTTCAAAAAATGGAAGGAATAACTTATTGTATCAGTTCTGTGCGTAGTATTTTCTTTCCGGTATTAATACAACTTTATTTTGGTATTATTGCTTTCAGCACCTTAGCATAATACGTTTTTTTAAATTTAGATGCATGTCTACACTTACGATGAAGCGCTTTCTTAATTGGTTCTCAGTTGTGATTTATACTTCAAAATAGTTTAGTTAGGAACCACTACCAAAAGTGTACTGATACAAGAACCGGCAGTGAAGTAGAAGTGCCCTCGGGTCTATACGGTTTAATATAGACCCAGTACTAATGTTTTTCCAAGGCCCTAAGTTATATGAGCGACTACGCTCCACTGCGAGAGTGACCAGAGCAAAAGAGGAAACGCCACCTCTTGTGTCTCTCACACGATTTTCGTTTGTGAAACGAAAGATTTTGCTTTCTCTTGCAATGGCCATGACCCCAATAATACGCTGAATAACACACGATTTAGTTCGAGATCCATTTCGCAAAGTCTGAAAGCGTTATACTCTCCGGGTAACGCCTTGAGACCTTTTCGGAATGGATTCCGAACCTAGATGAACCTTAAAATTTCTAAAAATTACTGAATTCTATCAATTGGGCCACGCGATTTACCAGACACACTGTAAGGGCCTTACAAAAACAGAGGAACGTTTACTCCTCCACCTTTACACCAAAACACTGCTGTGCCCAGCACTTTTCAAATATGTTGATCCTGCGTGTCCAGGAAAAGGTCTGCACTGTGCGGAGATGTTCTCTGACATCTTCCTCTTGGTAAGGTCATGCTAGTCAACTCCGCACCTCGCCCCAAAATCAAATCACACCCGGGAGGACTGGGAGGCAGCGTTGCTCAGCCGTTCCGACCTGGCGAGCCAGAAGGCTATGCTCGACCAAGCTAGAGTCGCGTTGGCTCCCAATGGACTTCTGTAACGAGGAGCCCACCTAGTGTGTGAGAGGGGTGGCCCGCACCGGCCCACCTGCCTCGTACTCACTGTATATATACATAAATATTAAAGTTTTCCTCTCTCTCACACTTGTGGCAGCAATACGCACTCTTCTTTATAGCAAAGTGTCTCGGAAGACAGATTTTCAAAAGAGTATAAATACAACAGCAGAAACTTTCAAAATGAGTAGGAATAAATTTTCTGCATGCCCAAAGGAATGTGTGTATGTGTGCGCCTGTAAATGAATAAATATTACATACAATTTACCGTATAGTTTGTGAATTTGTTTGTCCACAAAATTCACTCCTATAGATCTAACACACGTTCGATAGCGTCAATCTTTCACTTTTTTGTGGAATAATTGGCTCAGAGGTGAATTTCTAAATGCTTTTAAGCGCAATATTTCACTCAAACAAGCGCCTTTTTATTCAAAAGGCAGAATAAAGGTGTTAAGTCTGTAAAACTCGCCGCGGAGGCTTGATACTTTACTGGAAGACGATGGAGGCAATGTTTTCACAGCCTCCCGTACGCGCACTCACTCAGGCAAATCTAGAGACATCACGGTCGCAGTGAGCAAGCCTGATAATCTTCTAGGTCCCATTGGCAGAGTACCTCAGCTAGTAGACAGCAGCTGGTCACGTCACTGAAACCATGTAGCATCCCATAACTATACAAGTCACTGAAGACGCTATACGTACACGTCACGTCACTAAAATTACGACATCCTGAAACATGTAATCACGTGAAATGGTTCCGCCATGAACCTTTTAGTCATGTGATTGTAATACCGTGATCTCGAGCAACAGCTAGTCAAATAGCACGCTCTCGGCAAAGCCACGTAGCACGTGAGTACAGTTGGGAACCCAACGAAACCGGAGAGGTCTCGCCGTATTTATTACTAGCATAAGGATAGTATCTCTAGCAAATGATTAGCATAACTAGCAAAACTTAGCCAAATAGAACACTATCTCTGTTGATGGTTCCATCCTTGCGCCATTAGTGCAAGCCACCAACTTCTTTTGTTGTAACCTACACATAAGCCTTTGTAGCACACCCTTATTTACATATCTTCCGATCTAACATGTTGCCCTTTCCTTCTTTGATGGTGTTGCTTTACTTCTCACAGGTTCTTGTGTCTATGGTGGGAATAAGACGGTAAAAGATGGGTATGATATCCTATCGAAACCACCAAATTGCACCCAATGGGTATGCAATGTATCAGCGGAAGCATTTGTGATTACCGGGTGAGGCTTCTTCTGTTCACTTCTCCTCTGTAACTGTAGTCTACAATGTCATAAAGAAAGACACGAGCAATTTGGGACCAAATAATTCTTCAAAAATATCATAGCCGCTGCTTATGGTATAGGTAGTGCATGTACGTGTTCATGAAAGAGACAACAGTGTGCTATTCTAGTTATTATGAGCTGTTAAAGCAAGTCAGGAAACGCTCACATAACTCTTTATTAGTTACTCATTAGATTGACTTATCAGAGGTTGAGTAAAGGTTTTAAAATGAAGCTTTGAAATAAAAGTAGGCACTGAATTTCAAGCTGCAATGCAAGAAAGTGCTTCTTTGCAACTGGTAGTATGACCGGATAAAAAAAGTGATTTTTTCATATTAGCTACAATTCTATGTTTTCTATATCAAAAACACTCTCTGAACAGTGCTTTGTCTAATGACGCATATCACTTTCGAAAAAAAAAAAACTTCACTGCCTCCGTAACACGCGAAGCAACCATGGCAAACTAATAATAAATAATCAAGTAACTCTGACGATTATTAAATTTTATAGGAATGCTGAGTTTGGTGTTGCAGTGGAATTGTTCATAGAACAAAAAACACCTCGAATCTCATTTGTGCTTTGTATAGGTTTGTATCTTGTATCAATTTGTATTTTGTAATATGATTGGTACCCTTGAGTTTCCATTTGTGTGCTTGCGTTTTTTGATATGAGACTGTGCGACGGAAGCAAGGCATTCCTTAGGCATTCTAACTCTTAAGCACGGCTGTCTGCCTAGCAAGAAAGGAAATAAACTTCACATCACAATAATTCACACAGGAAAGATTCATAAGGTTACTACACTTAGTTTAGCCACAGTGCTGGTGCCCCGCAAGTTTGCAAGTTTGCAACAAGCATTTGATCTCCAACTGCTCGAGCTACGAATTTGTAAATCATGAAGTATAAATCATACGTTACCCTGCCATAAAAAAACAAACTTCTAGTTTCACCACAAGGACCAAGCAATGAATGTGATAGCAACAACTTTAAGCGTAATCATACTAACACTAGCAGTGGCAGCTAAAACCTGTAAAATCGAATCTGGCGTAAGGAACAGAACCACTGGAACGAATAAATCGACCTTCTTGTTCTCTATCACTTCATTGCAGATCGAGAAGTGAACACCGAATGCCGACATCAGTATAAGCCGTGTGCTGATTTCTCTAGAGATATGCGCTCAAGCAGGCAAGCACACCCGGCTGCGCATTGTTTTTAGTCATGCAGCTGCCCCACCACATTCGCCCCCATAGTTTTTTCGTTTAAGGAAATATGGCTGTCACGTATAGGCCTCCCAACCTTGGCCAGGGGGCGCTGCACCGCTCGCGTTTCGCGCGTTTCGACTGGCATGGTGGAGGGACGTATTTTTTGAGCGCTCCTGATCGACTGCGCAAATAAGTTGTTTTGCATGCTTTGAGCTTGCCTTTTTAATTAATAAGGCAGTAGTTAAAACCTTTGTAGTACTCATTACATTGTACGGCTTTTTCGGGGGTCAGTCACCAGGTATTCACTGGTTTGTGTCTGCGTGTGTTTGTTTCTGTTTTTTTCTCTTGCCACCACATGGGGGAGGTGCATGCACATTAAACATACAAACTTTTGTTGTAGAGCTTAGACTTTCTCTTTTTCGTAGGCCAGGGTTCGTGTTTTGTAATTATCGAGTAAGACAATCAATAAAGACAATTGGTGTCAGAGAAACATAATTAAAAAAAGGGGAAAGTGTTCAGAATGCGGGGTGGGCTTGAAAATGGACCCTGGACCTAAGTGCAGCAACGAAAGGAGAGTAAGCTGACGCCAAGTGTAGGCAATGTGAGGTCGAGCAAAAAATGGAGAAAATGATGGTTTGCCAGAGTGAACAGCTGATGAGAATCACCAAGCTGGAGACTGCGTCGGCGACAGAGCAAGAGAAAATGAGGGCTATGTGAGAAAGGCTGAAGTCCGCCGAAAAGGCGCTAGCCAAGGTGAACAAAGGAGTGGCCGACGGAGAGAACAGTAGGGCACCGACAATCAGAACGGCGGAGAAGAAAAAGCAAGCAAGTTTGGAAAGCAGTAGTGGGGCTGGGAGGGGACAAAGCAGCCGGCGTCACAGGTGCAAGTAACCCCCTAGGGGCAGGACGTTCCAGCTGAAAAGTCACAGCATGTGATAATCGCCGGGGAGTCGAAATTAAATAGATGCGCTGAAGCAATCAAAGAAAGGGTAAGAGGTGACAAGAGGGTTGTAGTAAGAATGTTCCCAGGACGCAAGCTGGAAGCAGTCATGAGGCAAGCGAGCACCAAACTCAAAACTACAGGTGATGGACGAAATCTCGTGATAATTTCAGGTGGTTTAAACGATGTCTTGAATGAAGATATGGCAGGACTAGCAATCACACTGGCGAAGCGGGTCAATGACATGCGCGCCACATCTCTTCAGGTACAGAGAGCGGTATCCACGATACTGGAGGTACCGGTGCGTGACGTCAACCAGCAAAGAGTGGTTGTCAACGAAAACCAAGAGATATGACGGATGAGTCGAGAGAAAGGCTTGGAGGTGGTGGAAATAAACAGGGAGGTGAATAGGTGGGGTGGTTTTCAACGAGACAGAATCCACTTCGATGAACGGTTAGGTCATGGGGTGGGTTGGCGCCTTGCAGGACGCGCAGTAGCTTTTTGGGAGGCACACGTGTCATTCGGTGTGCAGGATAGCTAGTAACGAGGAAAACAACCAGGGAGACTCTTTGACAGGTGGTATGCACAGATACGATTCCCAAGTGGCACCAATATCTAATATAGGTAGAGTCGGTGGCAGAAACAGACGTAGCCACGAGGGCCGAGCCAATTCAGACATAGGGTAATATTAACATGCAGGGTGGAAGAACAGGGTGAAGTGGGAAAAGATAGAACAGCTAAGGGAGGGGAGGCCGATGGTATACGTTTTTGTATAAACACATCTTAGGGATATGGAACGACCTCCTAACAATCCGAACTACGCCTGGGAATATGTAATAGAACAGAAGGCAGCAGAAAGGGGGGTGGTATTGGGGCATTCATTCATAAAAGTACAGACTGGCAAAGGGTCAAGCAGGAGCGCAAGGAACATTTATGGCTGAAAGGAAAAGCGGCCGGGCAAATGGCACTCCTTGGTTTGGTGTACTTGTGGACGGGAGCAAAGGTCAGAGAGGAAAACGAGGCAATGGTCGTGTGTATATCAAAGGGCATTGAGGAATTAGGAGGAGAGCGCGAGATAATTATACAAGGAGATATGAATGCACACATAGAAGATACAGATGGGTGTACTGACCCAACAGGCAAAATGATCATGGATATGTGTGAAAGGCATGATTTGATCATTTGCAACAGTACTGAGAAGTGTGAAGGGCAAATAACATGGGAGGTAGGAAGGCTGCAGTCGACGATAGATTACGCACTGATGTCACATAGGATGTAAATTAGGCTCAGAGGAAGGCACATAGATGAATGTGGCTCCAGAAGTCTGGGTAGTGATCAGAAACGTATCGAGCTAAATCTTAGAAGAGGAGTGAAAGTGGGAAGAAGACAAGATGAACAAGTACAGGAAAATTTTCATTTAGAAAGGCAAAAAATAGCTTCTAAACAAATTGAGAAAGTAATCACTGATGATAAAAAAACAGTGTGGACATACACGAACCTATTTAGACTGTTTGAGCTAGAGCTTGCTAAGGCGCGTGACAAGTCACCCCGGGAAAGAAGGCACAAACCCAAAAGTTGGTGTGATGAGGAAGTTAAGAGAGCCATAGCAAAACGTCAGGAAAGATCTGGGGAACACCATGCTAAGCAGCTGGGTGAACTGACAGATGATGTTGAAAGAAAATGGGACATCTTTCTAAGCTGTAGAAGGCAAGCATCGCTTCTGATCAATGAAAAGATTAGTTTAAAAGAGGCTCAGTGGCTGGCAGAAGTACATAAAAAGTATAGAAAGGCAGCTGCGAAATTTCGGAACCATCATAGGACTCTGAGAAATCAGACGAGACTAGAGCAGAGGATTATAACTACAGCTCAAGGTGCTAGGCTGGAAGGGGACGAAACTATTGATTATATAAGAACAGGGGTGACACAAAAATTTCAACAAAGAAATGCCTTATACACCACAACGGAGAAGGATGAATCAAGTGGTGCAATGGCTCCATTTTCACAAGGACAGTCGGAAAGGGCTGAGAAAAGGGCTTCTAGTAGTACATCAACAGGCCCAGCGGGCATTCCAATTAAGCTGATAGATTGGTTTCGAATTCTAAGCAGACTTTCAGAGAGGCAGTAAGCAATATTGGAGCCGGCACGCTTGCCGACATGAAGCTCAAAACACTTCTGCTCTTGCAGGTTTTTGCGGTCTTTTGGACGGAAACTGCGCATCAGCCGTTCGGCGGGCATACGGTACACGTGTGTTCTGCCATCCCATCTGCGGATACATCACGCAAAGCGTCATCAGCTCGAGCATCTTCATCGCTGGACGAGGAGTGCTGCGATCCTTGTTGGGCCGCTTGCGTGAGCGATTACGACGGCGACAGTCGCTGCATGTGTGGAACATCATGTGACCCAGAACTGGCGTATATATTTGCGCGACACCTTGGCTGCGTGGGAATTGGAGCCGGCACGCTTGCCGACATGAAGCTCAAAACACTTCTGCTCTTGCAGGTTTTTGCGGTCTTTTGGACGGAAACTGCGCATCAGCCGTTCGGCGGGCATACGGTACACGTGTGTTCTGCCATCCCATCTGCGGATACATCACGCAAAGCGTCATCAGCTCGAGCATCTTCATCGCTGGACGAGGAGTGCTGCGATCCTTGTTGGGCCGCTTGCGTGAGCGATTACGACGGCGACAGTCGCTGCATGTGTGGAACATCATGTGACCCAGAACTGGCGTATATATTTGCGCGACACCTTGGCTGCGTGGGAATTGGAGCCGGCACGCTTGCCGACATGAAGCTCAAAACACTTCTGCTCTTGCAGGTTAGTGCTGTTCGTATGCTTGAAATTCCTAAAGCACTTTTAGCGTTGCCGGCTCCTCCCACAAAGGCATGTGTCGCGAGCACCACGGTGCGAGTGTGCACTGGAGTTAATGGGAAGCGTTTTCGCTTTATTGTGAACTGAGTGCTATATGTTGCTCTTCTTCTACTACTTTCTGGAGACATTGAGCTCAATCCTGGGCCTTTCGATAAAGGTGAAATGGATTATTTGAAGAAGTTGCAGGATACTATTATGAGTAAGTTAGAGAATATTGATACTAGGATAACTAACAGTGATACTAACATAGCTGAAATAAAGAGCAAGCTAGAGATGACCGAGGGCCATATAGAAAGCGCCATGAAATTGGTACATGAGCAAGCCACTGTAATAAAGAATCTAACTCATCAGATGCGAATTCTTCAAAAGGAAAATATCGACCTCGAAAACAGAAGCCGTAGAATGAACCTTGTGTTTTACGGGATAGACGATAATGACCAGCATGAAACTTGGGAACAGTCTGAGGCCCTCGTTAAGGGCATCTGCACTGCCCAACTCGGATACGAACTGACATCAGTTCAAAGGGCACATCGCGTAGGTCGTTTTAATGAACGGAAAAAAAAGGCCAATTATTGTGAACTTTTCATCTGATAAGGAAAAAGAGGTCGTCCTTAAAAAAGCCAAGAATTTGAAAGGTACACAGTACAGCATTGAGCAGGACTATTCATTCGAAACGCGCACTGTACGAAAGAAGCTTTGGGAATATGGTAAAGCGAAAAGGGCGGATAAGAAAAACCTGGTTAAGCTAAAAGCCGATAAACTGATTATAAACGGCAGAGCATTTACTTGGGATGATGAAAAGGAAGAAGTCGTTGCCTTGTCTAAACGATGACAGGAAAATTGTACCATCTGCGTTCATCGTGATTTAATTATTGCAGTAGTGAATTGCCGAAGTGTAATAAACAAAATAGACGAATTCGCTGGCTTGCTTGATACCGTGAAGGCCGATGTCGTGTTCGGTACAGAATCTTGGCTCAACCCATCCATCTCTGATCATGAAGTGTTTCCTAACAATTATACTGCCTACCGTAAAGATAGGCCGAATCATGGGGGTGGTGTTTCTTGTTAGTTCACTCGTCCCTTTCATCCGCTAATCTTGATATCGGTAATGACGCTGTCGAATCTGTCTGGAGTACTGTTACAGTCAGTAACAATTTTTCTTTTGTAGCTGGGACGTTTTATCGACCGCCCGCCGCGAACTCCAGTATTTTGCAATTATTAGGTGACATCGTTTCACAGGCGTCTGACCGTACGATATTATTAGCGGGTGATTTTAATTTACCCGATCTAAAATGGCGAAGTCACTCATGCGAGGTGCTGCATGCCAGCCGTAATAACCTAGAAATGAAGAACATTGTTGACACTTTTGGGTTGATACAGTACGTTTTAGAACCCACAAGACTTAAGCATACCCTTGATCTTCTCTTTTGTAACTCCCCTAATTTAGTAAGTAACGTTGATATCATTCCAGGCATTAGTGACCATCAGGTTGTAGTAGCAGGCGTTATAACAAAAATTCAAAAAATCACGAAGAGTATCAGAAGAAAGTTGTTCTTTTTTGACAAAGGCGACTATCCGTCAATTTCCGCAAGG